GTTTGAAAAGGAAAAAAATCCTGTATTTTTAAAATCCTATGGAGCAGCTTGCAAAGGGCACCGTAGATTAAATTCCCCACATTTCATTCTGTACTTGCTCATTTAAGTTTTTATTTGACATTTTAAAGACACTGTTAAGTCATCATCTCTTGCAGTATTTCTACCCTGCATCCTTTCTGGAATCAACAACTTTCTATTCTAAGAAAGTACATTTCTCTGCAAAAGCTCTTGCTGTTGTGATACTCTTTTCATGGCAGTTCCAGAGAGCACCTCTACAAATCTCTTTCTGCTTTTCTACTGGAGTCAGATCCTGTTTTATAAGCTAAAATCCCTGGTGGGTTTGTTATGTGAGAAATGGTGCAGCTTGTCTCTTCTGTATTCTGCATTGAAAACACTCTATTAACATTCAAAAAGGTCACTGAAGGTAAATTCAAAGATGAGACAGATTTTTGAGAGGGTTGCTCTCATGAATGAGGTTGACCCAAAGGGACAAAATTCAACTTGTTGCCACCATCTTTTCTTCATCCTTCAAGATGTTCACAATTTTGCCTTTTTTTTTTTTTTTTTTTTTTTTTAATAAAGAGAGAGAGAGAGATTCCCAACACAAACTCTTGGCTTGATTCCCAGTTCGATTAGGTTACCGGTTACGATGGAGTCACATAACATGAACACAACTTGACAGAGTACTTAATTACAAATGTTTCTGTCTTCTACAGGTGATTGATTATGCTTTTGTAATCTAACATGACAGTTTTGCCCTTTATATATGCAAGTCCTGTTTGTGTCCTGTCACTGTGTATCTATATCATGGTGAGTCTGCAATGACTATTGTTTATCTTGTTAATTTGAAGCTGTCTGTTAAGGGATGATACATTGTCATAGCCTTCTCTTTCTAACAGAAATTGTCAAAGTATTTTTCCTTAATCAAATAAATATTCTCCCTTTACTCTTATCTACACTGAGTAGACTCATTGAAATCAATTGGATTATTTGAGAAGTTAAGGTATGACTCTGCCTAAGTAAGTGTATCATGTTCTAGCCCTTGGAAGCTTGCATTTGAATTTGGTTTCTTTATAAATATTTTTTTCTCCCTTGCATGTAAACTGTACACAATGTTGTGTTATTACATGAGTCCATTATGTGAGCAAGGCTACTAGAATCTTTAAAAAACATAAAGGTAAAAAACGAAACTTTGGCATGAAGCCCCTTCCTCCAACAGCATTGCCAAAAAAACACAACAGCAACAAAAAACACAAAAAAGCCTGAAATTGCATTTATCAACTTTGCCAGTGCCTCCATATCATTAAAAATTACAACTAATTTATATCACATCAGATCTGCAACAGCATTTTGTTTCAGCATTAGCCCTCTTCAGACGAAATTACAAATGCAATCTCATTCCTTATGTATAATGGTTTTATGATGCGGACAAACATCCATTACGGAATAGATTGAAACCAATTTTATACTGCAGTTCTACTCTGACCTGTTCAGCAGAGGATCATGAGGTTTAAAGGCTATTGAAAATTTTTGCACTGGAGAAGTTCTCCATTGGAAAATGCTGATTTGATGGAATCAAAATGTTCATTCTGTCAATTTTTGACAAAACCAGGCCAGTTTCCAGAGAGCCCGCCTGTCTCTCCATTTGCTCTTGGATCCTCTACTCCCCAGCAGGTTGGCTGGCAAGCTCCCCAGCCCCCTAACTTTCAAGCTGCCTGCTGGCCTTGCCAGCCCCCCTGCATTTTTCAAAAATAGTCCATTTTGATTGTTCTGAAGCAGGAGAGTTTTTTTAGAATTCCTTTTGGTGGAAACGTTGTTTTGAATTCAAATGAAAACCAAAATTTCCACATTTAGTGAAAAGAAATTCCCATTTTCCAACCAGCTCTAGCTATTGAGTTTCACTGATTCATTATCAGATTTGATCCCCTTAGATCTTAAGTGCCAGTCAAGCTAGATTCCTGAGTGCTTGTGCACCATCTCAAGATAAGGCCCAACTGAACCAGCATTGCCAACTCTCTTGATTTAATTATGAATCTGATGATATTTGGTGTTTTTCCTAAAGCTCCTGGAGACACAAAACCTGAAATTCTCAGTCACATTTAAAAAAAAAAAAAAAATTTCTAGCCCTCATGGTTGTGGATAAAAAAAGCTCGAAAACATGAACCAGAAGGCAAATAAAAAGAAGCCAACATTTATTTATATATTCACTAGGATTGCAGGATCAAGGCCTTATAAAGGTATCACTCCATAGAATCCCATCTAAGTTAAAATTACTGGCAACCATTAACTGAAATTCTGCTTTAGAAAACATTTACTTCATGTATTCTGTAAAAAAAAGAACAGACAGGCTGCAGTGTTTTCAGTATCCTTACAGTGACAAATTTGTTACCTTGTATTTATTATTTCATATCTTTTTGGTATTGTTCCTAGAGCTAATATAACTGGTTATTTATACACAAAGAAAATCAATAAGTAAAAAGTTGTCATTTAAGAGAGTTCCATGTTAGTCTAATTCAGTGGTTAATTTGAGATAAATTAATAATTTAAAATTAGAAAGTGACTCTGGGCAAATAAAACATGGTTTAACACAATTTATAAAGATGTTACAACAAGATGCATGCAACATACTGTACTGCATACTGAAATGGATACTGCTCATTTAGCAAAAATGCTGAAAACCTTTATCTCTTTTGAGTTTGCTGATGAATCAGTTTCCGGCAAGAGTGTACAGGCAAACAATAAAAGGCATCTGCAAATTAGAACAAATATTTTAACTACACATATAAAATGACCATGAAATTGCATCCAACTGTCATACAGCCGTGTAGAAGTGCAACAATATCAAATGTCGTTCCATTTTACAACAGCAAATCTCAAATTCTGAGAAACTGAATAAAAAAGCCCTCATGGGGAAAAAAAAAAATCCTGTCTTCAGGTACCGATAACATTGACAAACCTTTGAATAACAACAGCAGGGAGAAGTGCCGTAGTTAGTGAAGAATGAACTTTTATAACTGTCCATTTCATTTAAGTTTAGCAGCACTGTATAGTATAGGAACATGTTTTAGATAGATATTTGATACTAATGACAAAAACATGAGGCAGCCAACATCTTACTAGAATCTTGACACACACACCCATACCCACACACCACCCCTCCTTTCTTTTTCAAATATTGAAGTAGAGTTTTAATTGTAAACACTAGGCCCCATGCTACAGTGGATCTAATGATCCAAAAATCCTGGTTACTAACAGCAGAACTTGAATATAAACCTTTGAACAGCAGTCTGTAAGGAAAATAACTTTGAAAGTCAGTTAGCTTGTTTTCTTTCTCATCTGTTAAATGGTGCATTTGCCCTACAATAAGGGGGCTGCCTCGAATATTTTAGAAAAGTAGTCCTGGAAAGTAACAAATAAGAACTAAGTAATCAAAATATAACATCACCAACAAAACTGCCAGAAACAAGTACATTTTAGTACTGCACTTTGCAATACCTTTGAATGACGACTCACATTTGAAAGATGTGAGTTAGGAAAATACTGACTATAAATTGTGAAATTTAGGCCCCCTTCATGGAAGATAAAAGGGAGGAGCAGAGCTTATTTTGTGGAGTTTGTTTTCCTTATGTAAATTGTTTTGTAAATTCAAAGAAAAATATTCAATTTCTGCTCTCATTTGGGGGGATTTAAATTTTTATAGATTTTGAGAGAGAACAACCTGATCTTCCTATACAAGAAATGTTCAAAAGAGACAGGTGGAATTCACACTAATAAAACCGAAGTGGCTGTTCAGGTTGTATTTTCACAAGAGGAGGAAAATATAGAAAATATGACCAACAAAAAATTTATCATGGTTTTGAAGCACCTAAAAACAAGCTTCAGGTGCCACTTGTGCTCCCCAGTTGTCATCAAAATGAAATTCCCGAAGGAAGAAAGGTTTGTTGCATTAGATTGGCTGGAATAAAGGTGTGTATGTACTTTATCAGTACTTGTTTATTTAAATAAAGCAAATTCCATTTACTACGAGGCTCCACTGTAACCTCTGGTGATGCAAACCACTGATGCAGGTTTTGGACTCTCATTTTCCCACTTCAATCCTCACTAAGTGTTTTGAAACAATGATCACTGCCAGTTAAAAATATATGTAGTTCCCAAAACAGAGCCTCCAGAAAGCAGTATTTCCAGAATGATGCCCAGCTTAAGGCAATTAGTTTTGAGAGAGTGAGTGTGCGTATGTGTGTGTGTGTGTGTGCGCGTGCTAAGGAGGATACTCCTTCTTAAAGTAACAGAAAACAAGATGCCATCACCCATGCTCAAAGACAGGTGAAATATTTTGGTACCAGACCAAACTGGTGGCTGCCAAGTCCTGCTGTGCTTGGAGAAACCTGCATTTTTTTGTTTTGTTTTAACTCGGTTTATGTCTATTTTATTGACTGAAAGTCACTTCTGATGTGCATTCCTTGGCAATTTAACTAAGAGGTATCCGTGAAATCAAGGGGATTGCAAAACTTTCCTTTGCATTCAGTACTTTTTCTTCTTTAAAGACTACATCCATAAGGAAATCAGGTGGACATGTGAAGATAAAGCTAGTCCAAAAAGTTTTAATTTAGCAGCTTTCTAATGAAAAAAGTGAGAGAATTTTCTCAATTTTTTATGAAAATATTTTCCAGTTTTCAACCAGCTCTAATAAAGACTCAGTCAATAAATGAATATGGAAGGCCAACGGACCCCAGAAAGGTCTGGACCACTTGGCATTTTCTTATCATGCCTAGCCTTACATCCACCCCTAAAGCACATGTCTTCCTTTCACCCAAATCACAAAGCGTTTGTTTGAGAACAGGGTATTAACATTTCAACAGAATTAAAAATACAGAAAATCAGTAAATGCAAGATTTTTTTAGGAATTAAATTTTCAAACATTTCTGTTCAGTGTGGTATATTTGTTAAACTAATCCAAACAAAATTCTTGACCATCACTGCCACATGGACTGTGAACCATTTTAGCACTCAGTTTCCGTGGAAGTGTTTTCTTGCTTAGCTTTTTTTTCTTCTGTTGCACTGCCACAGGCCACCACTAGATTAGTTACACTGCTGGCGTGTCCTGGTCTATTTAATTTGTCCTTAATGGACTTGGCTTTCCGAGAATGGCTGTGTAAACTCTTTGATCGTACAGATGGGAATCTATCAGTCCTGTCTGGCTTCACTGACAGTAAGTTTTCTGTCTCAGTCCTGTCGGTGACAGGTGTAGAAGTATGAGAGGCACTGACACCTGCTTCGCCAACATCACTGTCATCTTCTGTATCTGTCAGTAACTGTTTCTGCTCTGCTTGCCTTTCTGCTTCAGACTCACCAGGATATTCTGGACTAGGTTCATTAGAAAGTTTCTGTTCAACCTGGTATTTCCACTCACTAGTCCACTGTTCAACTGTGGAAGGGCACACTTGATCCATTATGGTGTTATAGTCTGTGGTCCAGTTGTTGACCCCTCCAACCAGCTTCCCTCCATGTGCAAATATAAAGCTCCTTGACTTTAGCATGGTTGTTTGACAAGCATTGAAAGCTTCAGCAGGGTAATAGCGCATTGCCTTAGACTTGTCCAAGGGATAAGAGATAGTAGCTTCTAACTTGGTCCTTTCTACTGTTAAATGAGTGTTCTGAAAATCTGGTCTTGTGACTGACTGTCCATTCATAACAATATCTGTTTGCTTTATGCTTTGGGGAATTGTTTCATCACTCTTGGAAATCCCTTGCTTGTCATCAGATGAAACTGAAACGTCTGAATGTCTAGTGACATTCTGTGCAATTTCTAATGTAGATTTATTGTAATCTGTAGTGGCAACTGTATTAGCACTGGAGATATAGCGAAGACTACCCTGACGTTCTGGAACCAGCTGCATCTTTGAGTCTGCACCATCTTTTTCTTCTTTCGTACCAAAATAATAGGCTTTTTTGCGCAAGCCCATGGCTGGTGACATCGGGGTGGTGCTATCATCAAATGTTAACTCATCACCACTGACATGATATCTGTACATGCTGTAGCCATCAGAGCTGTTGACACTGCTTTGCCTCAGGAGGTAAGCGGCATCACATTCAGAAGAAGCTCGTGAGTGTGTATGCGTCAGCTCGGATTTGTCAATACCCACCAGCTTTTCAAGGGCATTCACCATCCGACCAGATAGCTCCTCCAGTTGAGAAAGTCGAAGGTCAACTGTCTGAAGAGAAGCTTTCATAAAATGTTCTCTTTCATTCACTTCTTCTAACCTCATAGACATGTTTTCCACTCTGTGGAGTACAAGAATAAGATTAATTAAATATACCATAGAATGTTTTCAAGTAACACACTAATTTCTGCTGAGTAATGTTAGAGTTGAATTTTGTACCATACATGTTCCTTACTAATAACAATGTCAAAGGTCAGAAGTGCTGAATGTGCAATTTTCACATACAGGGTGAAATTTGCTCCTGAGCAGAAAGCCAAAACAAGATTTCTGCAGCCCCTGAGTCCCACTTAAGCTTTCAAAACAGAACTTAAGTCATGCATAAGTCTTGTGCTGGCCCTCAGAATAGCAGAGAATTTTACAATATATGCACTATCTATTTATTTTAAGGAACAGTTCACTCTAACGCACAAACTTCTCCCCATTTTGTACAAAAGTTTGTGTAATACACTCTACTATATTGTGATTTTCCAACAGTGGAAGTATTGAATATATATGTAAACTGTTGAAAACCTCGCTTATAGCTACAGTACAGTGTCACAATATTTGATATCTTACTGTCTAGTCACTTCTGTTTTCTACCCCTGTATCCCTTTTTGTTTAAGAAAAGATATGCCATATTTGATTTTTAGTATGAATCATTATCTTGTTTAACCTATTCTGCCATTTAATTATTGTGGAAAGACTTTCAGAACTTCTTGAGGAAAAAGCTGAAAACTTCTCAGTTTACAGCTGGAGGTTGATACCTTTTATTTAAAAAAGGGAAATTATATGAAATTACACAGCACTTAATATTGCAAGTGTGGAACATTAACACCTTTCTTTTAAAATTACATTGTACCAAATTATTTGTTCCCCAAAACTTGAAAAAAAAAATCAACGATGCAAGATGCTGAAGCTCTTGATAAAACTAATCAATCATTTACTTTTTGACATCTTCATTTGCACCAAAGCCAGTAGGGTTTTCTGGGGTGTAAAGAATGCAGAATCGTGCCATAAATGAATGCCAAAATCTCAGAGAGAGTTTTGGATAGTCTCTTACTTTGAGGAAGGAGTTTTAACATCAGATTCCCTTGCTGTGAACCCGTTTCATTTCTTATTGCCTTACCTCAGATCCATCCCACTGCAATAATTTACTGTTCATGAGTATTTGGATGGCCACGGGATATTCATGAAAATATCTGAGAACCCTAGAAGCTTCACAAATTCTAACACCAATTGTTATTCGTCCAAAAATTCATAATGGAAACATATTATATACTATTGCCATTCTTTAGTCTTCTGTTTAAAAACTCTCAGACATCCAGTCATGAAGCAGAAACAGTACCCACTGTGACCTAGTTGACCAATCACACACCACAATTAACAGTGAAAGTGAATAGTATACAAAACTATCCATAGGTTGAAGAATATTTGCATGTTATTCAGTGAATACTTATGAATAAATTTGCAGAAATCAGATCTAGTTTCCAAAACAATCTGAACAAAGAACTTTCTAAAATAATTTTATCAGCCCCATTTGTACACTAAAGCAGTTCATTAATCTGATTCATGTTATTGAAAGATTTTGCACTTTCTGTTGAGCTATGCTCATTACGCTATACAAAATGGAAATTTAAGCTCTTTCCCCCCTTAGTTATTAAGTGTCCAGGCAAGTACAAGTCATGTCAGCCTTGAGGTAGGCATGTTTTTATATTTCTTTCCACACATGCCAACCTCTTCATGTATAATAGTCATTCTTCTCTGTAAGGAACTCTATTAATTATATGGGAATCATTTTCTAATGACAGATTCAAATGTTGACTTGATATAAGATAAAGATAATGGTGAAAAACACATTCGGTTGCTCCTTGAAACAGAATGTACTCTGGAGTTTATGGAATTGTGCACTACTTTAGCCTTTTATTTCTACTTTCCAATTATGTACGAGATTTGCGAACAGTAGAATCATTTAAAAAATCTTGTATCATTTTCTTGTATCATTTATAGCATAATGGAAGTAACAGTGCAGGAAGACTGGATATAAAAACTACACACTGGGATGTGATTAGAGATCACATACTAGCAAATCAACCATGGAAGTAAATTAACATTCTTTTGCTCCCACATACAAAAGCTGGTGGAGCATCTGGAGCAAGAAGCCATGAGAAATATGCAGATCTACTTTGTGACCATGTACCATAATGAATCAGAGAAGCATGTTGGTTCTACTCTATTTGTTGTCACAATAGCCCTGATTTTGACAAATTGCCATGGCAAAAACAATGCTGTAGAAATTACACACACACGCACATTTCATTTACTCTCTGACTCCCAGACTGCACATAGACACTACTTGATGTTCAGGACACCTCCCAGTCAGAAAGATGTTAAAGAATTCAGAGAAAGACATTTAAGTGGTAGTGAAGAGGGTGTTTTGATAGCCAACCTTGGTTTTGAGTGCCCCTGACATAGAAGTTTTATTGTTGTTATGACTAGAAATGCTTTGCTGAGAAGGGATAATGAGCAATTTGCTGAAGCTAGGAGAATTGGTGACCCACTAGGAGTCACTAAGAGTTATGTGCTTTATTTAAGTTAGCTATAAAAGATTAAGTAAAAGAATACACTTTGGAGCAGTTCAAGGAGCTTTTCTTCGAGCAAAGACTAACATCTTTTCCTCAGCAGCTGGACGGAAGAAGGACCCCCGGAAGCCTGGCTGTTGATCACTTGAAACCATCTCAGACTTTGGGTAACTATGTTTGGGGTGCTCTAAAACTATTGCCATGGCATGTACTTGAGACTCAATAAAGAAGGAGCTTTGGGTGAAAGCATCTTGTTTGTACTAATCATTCATCAGACGGAGGAGCTGTGTCCCCACTGATTTATTCCTGACACCGCCTGCAGAAAATGGGTTAAGTTATCACCATTTTGGGTTCTGAAAGCCCCAGATAACAGTGGCACTGATTTGTGAGGATTTCTTAAAAGAAACATATGGATAGAGTGGTCACTATTAAAGTGTTGACATCTACTGTTCTGAGTTAATTAGCATTACTATGGCATTGCAGGTATTCCCTTTGCTATCACACTGACTATTTGCACATGGTAAATGTTATGACTTGGCTAAATGATGACTGAGAGGATTATTATATTTGGCTATTATTATTCTAAAGGTGTAAAAACCAGCAGGAATAGAATCATTTAGGATGGTCCTTAGGGTGGGGCTATAACTAGGGATTAGTGAGTATGCAACAGGGTAAAGGAATATATAGACTGAATATCAGGTATCATTTTCTTAATAGCGAGATTTCTTATTTTGTGGAATAGTCATCCAAGTGAATAATAGAAGGCCAATCATTTGAGTTATTTTAAAACTGCCACTGGAATAGGTAGAGCATGTGAAAACATTCTGTAGGGAAAAACCCTGCCAGAGCAGGGTTGTTGATTAGACGATCTAGTAATCGGGACATATACTACTACTGGTTAGGTCTTCATATTTACAAATATTACCTAAGCCTCACAACACCTCAGTGAGGTACACATAGGTATGATTGCTATTTACAGATGGGGAAGCTGATAGAGAGGTTAAATGATTTGCCCAAGACCTCAGGGGGAATCTTTACCAGATCTGAGATTAGAATTCAAGAGTTCTGGGTGTCCAGACCCGACATGCAGACCACTAGAACGTACTTCTCCCTTCCTATCTCACTGCTCTTGTCATTTGATTCCACTCTAATACAATAAGGCAACCTGTTAGAAATCGAGCAAGTAGTCATTTGTTAAAGTAGGCAGAGAAAACATCTCTGAACTTCACACAGCTGAGGCCGGGGGGGAACAGGAAGTGTAGAAGTAAAATGTGGGCAAGGCTCTTGCAGTATACCCAGACCACACAGAAGAAACAGTGCTAGTGTTCTCATGAGAAAACCTGCTCTTGTGAGAGATTCAATTTTGGAGACAGATTGTTAGGTATGGTTAAGATAAGCATAGAAACTTTTGATGCATTTTTTTGAGGCTACAAACATCGCATAGCTTGACCAACACTAGGTGTTAATGAACAGGAAAAAAGTTTTCTAATCACTAGTAAAGTTAGGGTGGTTTTTGTTTTCAATAGTTACCTTTCAGATGTGACTCTGATACGTTCGTCATTAGATGATTGTTGTTCATCCTCCTTTTCCTGAAAATATTCCTCAACACATTGCTCTTCAAATTCATACAATTTCTTCAGCTCTTCATCATTCAGAAACAATTCTGCATAAAATTGTAAAATGTATTAGTTGAATTGCCCAAGATTTATATAATTTTAAATCCAATATAACAGGTGGGTTTTTCTTTTGTAGGCTTTTTGGATATTGGAGAGGCCGGGGGGGGGGGGGGATGCGGAGGCAGGGGAAGGAATTGAAGGTTTTGTTTCTGCAATCCTTGCTTGGGCACTTAATAAACAGGCTATTTTGTAAACAGGCAACCACCACTTAGCCAAAGTCCTGAGCGCAATGTTATCTTACTCAGTCAATCTGATTGCTCGTTTAGATGAATCTTCTTTTTTACCATCTCTCTAAAAGGGGATGTCATCACATTCAGTAGATTAAATCCAATGGGTCAGTCTGTTCCACTGGCAGACTTTGGGTAAGGACTTTTCAAAAAATTGCAATTATTTAAAAAAAAAAAAAAAGGAAAAATAAATGAGAGAACCCCCGCTTAGGAATGCTTCATATTATTTTCAGGGGTGTCATGTATGTAACTCTTTTTTATCAGGGGCATAGGAAACAAAAATAGAATTACCTAAAAATATGTTTCCCATGAAAAACAGAAACCAGGATAGGTAAAAATACTACATGAATGATAACATCTGTTTGATTAAATCCGTTTTTTCTTCTTTATTATTATTATGTTAAAAGTAACAATTTCAGGGCACTTCCATCTTCAAAGCATTTTACAGATAATAATTAATCCTCACAGTGCTCTTGTGAGATAGGTAAGTATTATTACATGTGGGGAAACTAAGACACGATATTGTCATACATGAACTGGTAAAGGCAAGAGAGAAGTCAATGTGACAGATGAGATTAGAAACCATAATCCCTGTATCCCCTCAATTTCTTAGTGAATGATCTCCATTACCTATTCTTTCCCTCCCACTGGGTGGCCTTCATTATAATTTGGTTAATCTGGACTAAACAGATGCCAAAACTATAGAGTCAGCCACTTTAAAAAAAATGCTAAGGAAGATCGGTAGCAGCAGTGCAGCATCATATTCTGTGGGCTCAGGACCCTGGAGACCTCTATGAATTTATTAGTTTGATGCAAGTGTTGTCACATACTGATTTTTACTAATACTGCCAATGGCCAAGGTGAAGAAAATGAATGGCAATTAGCACTGGATAAATGGCTGCTTTGTGTTTGAAATGGTATAAAGAGCTCTATTTAAAACACAGAATCCTTCACATACTCAGTCCCCGGTCACGCTCATCCTGGTCTCCTTCTTGTTTCTTCCTACAGCGACAGCAAAGGCGGATGATGATTATGTAGAGGTGGCTGAAGATGATCATAGGTGGAGGTAGGACAGGTCTGTCGTGGAATGTCATGATCAGCTGATATCGCTGGAATTTCCAAACTTGGTTGGATATGGACTTCACTTCAAAGAAGGTATTGCTGCAAGGGAGGTTATTGTTAGGTGTATTGTTTTCCATTAGGTTCTGATGATCCTTTGCCATAAATAAGCATACAATTAAAAATACAAAGGATATTAAATAGCAGTCTGAGTTCAGATACAATAATTTAACATAAATTGCTGAGTTGTAGCCAATCATTTCAGCAGTTATTATAAAGCCTGGAGGCTCTAGTTGGAAGAGACTGTTAAGACTGCTGATTAAGTTGAACTGATAATTTAGCTATCCTTTTGACTGTGGTAGAACAGCAGCACACTCCTCCCCAGAAGGCTATCCTTTTAGAACAGTGGTTCTCAAAAACTTATTTGATCGGGCCCCTCTTCTTTGTGTCTGTAGTCATTTATGTGCCCCCCTCCCCCCGCACAAATGCATATTCCACCACTCAGCTCTGAAGGCAGAGCAGAAAGCAGCAACTGCTGGATGGACGCTCAGCTCTGAATGCAGTGCCATGCCAGCAACAGCTCAGAAGTAAGGGTGGCAATGTGAAAGTTGATATTCATCAATATCACTTTTTACAGCAGACTTAGGCCTGGTCTACACTAGGCTTTTATGTCGACTTTAGCGCCGTTATATCGAATTAACCCTGCACCCGTCCACACCAGGAAGCCATTTAGTTCGACATAAAGCTCTCTTTAAATCGATTTCTGTAATCCTCCCCAACGAGAGGATTAGCGCTAAATTCGACATGGCCATATCGAATTAGGCTAGGTGTGGATGGAAATCGACGGTAATAGCTCCGGGAGCTATCCCACAGTGCACCACTCTGTTGACGCTCTGGACAGCAGTCCGAGCTCGGATGCTCTGACCAGCCACACCCCCGGGAAAATTTGAATTCATTTTCATTTTCCTGTCTGGGCAGTTTGAATCTCAGTTCCTCTTTGGACATCGAGGGGAGCTCAGCAGCAGTGGCAACTATGCAGAGCTCTCCAGCAGAGATGGCCGTGCAATCTAATAGAAAGAGGGCCCCAGCATGGACTGATCGGGAAGTCTTGGATCTCATCGCAGTGTGGGGCGATGAGTCCGTGCTTTCAGAGCTGCGCTCCAAAAGAAGGAATGCTAAGATCTACGAGAAGATCTCCAAAGCCATGGCAGAGAGAGGCTACAGCCGGGATGCAACGCAGTGCCGCGTGAAAATCAAGGAGCTGAGACAAGGCTACCAAAAAACAAAAGAGGCTAACGGACGCTCCGGATCCCAGCCCCACACATCCCGTTTCTACGAGGCACTGCATTCCATCCTGGGAGCGGCCGCCACCACTACCCCACCCCTGACCGTGGACTCCGAGGATGGGATCATGTCCGCGGCCGGTTCCTCGTCGGACATGACAGCGGACGGGGAAGATGAAGAAGGAGATGAGGAGGACGAGGCAGTCGACAGCGCTGGCACCGCTGATTTCCCCGACAGCCAGGAGCTCTTCATCACCCTTACCGAGATCCCGTACCAACCGTCCCCATCCCTTACCCCGGACACAGAATCAGGGGAAGGATCAAGCAGTAAGTGCTGTAAACATGTAAACATTTATTTAAAACAGAACGGTAATATTTATACTATTAACAATGTACATTTATAAAAGTTCTGTAAACTAGTAAAAAAATAATCAGGTACAAAACAGGAATATTTACAAAGGTAACAAATGGGTTTTCATGATTTCTCTGTCTTGGGCTCTTCTCAATTTAGTCCCAAGTGTTTTAAAAAATTTTCACAATGTCCGTTACTCCATGATTCCCAGGCCCAAGACGCTCCACTCCATAGTCCCAGTGCACCTACGCGAAAATCCGGTCAATGTGGCCGGGGATCGACGAGAAATCCTCGTAGGAGAACTCCTCGTAGGTCTCGTGGAGGTAGAGCTCAAGCCTGTTGATCAGGTTCCGGGGTAGGGCGATCTTAGTGGGCCCTCCGTGGTAGCAGACATGCCCCCTCCACGCCACAATCAAGTACTCCGGGATCATGGCCCGACATAGCATGGCGGCATACGGCCCCGGTTTCTGCATGCTTTCCCGCAGCATGCGTTCTCTCTGGGTGTCCGTGATCCTCAGGAGGGTGATGTCGCTCATGACGCCCTGCTTTGAATTAGGGAGGGGAATGTTAGTATTGGGACTGCTTTACAGCCACGCGGTGGAGGGAGAGGGGCAGCATACAGGGATCTTTCCCTGGGACAGCCGCGAGGGGGTGGGACAGGGGCAGAGTTCATGCTGTCCTGATTGCTGGCAGCAGAGACTGGCATTGCTTTCAATGTGAAAGGAGGCCAGTGCTACTGCTGGAGTTTTAAGCAGCCACAAGTCTGTGGCTTACCATTATTGCCCGCTCCAGAAGTTCAGGTCTCCAGCCACAGTTCTCTGAACAGTCCAAGACCTCCGCAAGTCCACAGGCACTGAAGGCGACGGCCGAAAATTCGACCTTGTCCTGAGTGCGCATGTGAGAGGTGCAGTGCATGGTCTTGTTCACAGAGAAAGACTAGGTTCTTTGTATACAATTTCATTTATCTGTCTCAGGAATTCACTCCCTTTTCACAATTCACACAGACACATCTGCGACTGTCTCCCAACCCAGCCTCTCAGCACACTCCCAGAGGCTAGCGCAGATTAGGCGGAGGAAGAAGAAGACGCGTGAAGACATGTTCTCAGAACTAATGGACTGCTCCCGAGCCCAGGCAGCCCAGCAGACACAGTGGAGGGAGAACTTGTCACAAATGCACCGAGCAGTCATGGAACGGGAGGAGAGGTGGCGTCAGGAGGACCAACAGGCTACTGAAAAGCTGCTTGGACTAATGAGGGAGCAAACGGACACGCTCCGGCGCCTTGTGGATGTTCTGCAAGACCGGAGGCAGGAGGACAGAGCCCCGCTGCAGTCTATCTGTAACCGCCCTCACCCGCCACCAAGTCCCACACCACCCTCACCCAAACTCCAAAGAAGGAGGGGCGGCAAGGGCCGTTAAAACTTTCAGTCAACCCCTGCAGACTGCTCTAGCACTAGAAGGCTGACATTCCCCAAAATTTCATAAGTCCTTTCCCACCCACCTCACAGAAGCCCCCGTCCAAGTTTCACACCCCACGTTTCATGTCTGGTTCGCAATAAAATGTTTGTTTCTCTCCATTACTGTTTCAGTCAGGTTCTTTTGAGGGAGAGTCTGTCTGGAGGGGGGCAAGGGGCTTGGTAATTGGGCAGGACAGTGACCTTTAGCAGGGTACAGAGGCGGTGTCAGGTCCAGCATCAGGACACATACACAGTGCAGTCACTGGTTACCCTGGTCAGTCTGGGAGGTGTTTTTCATGTTCTCCATTGAAATAACCAGTCCACCAGTGCGGAGCCTGTCATTCCGGGAGTTTAGAAGCATCATTTGCATCAGAACACTGAACCCGCCCCCCGCCACAGTCTGCGTCCCCGGTTTAAAATATTCCCGCGAAAACAGCAATACAGACAACGCTGTTCATTAACAAAATCGAAATGATTTTATTTTTTGGGAAGGGGAAGGGGGTGAAGGGGGTATGTAACTGGAGAGGATAGTCAAAATGAACTGGGTAAAGAAACGGGGGCAGGTTCAGCTTCTCTGTCCACAAACTGAAAAGTCACTGGTTGCCCTGCTCACTCAGGAACCTAGCTTTCAAAGCCTCCCGGATGCACAGGGCGTCCCGCTGGGATCTTCTAATGGCCCGGCTGTCTGGCTGGACGTAATCAGCAGCCAGGCTATTTGCCTCTAGCTCCCACCCCGCCATAAAGGTCTCCCCCTTGCTCTCACAGAGATTGTGGAGCACACAGCAAGCTGCAATAACGATGGGGATATTGGTTTCACTGAGATCACAGCGAGTGAGTAAGCTTCTCCATCTCCCTTTGAGACGGCCAAAAGCACACTCCACCACCATTCTGCACTTGCTGAGACGGTAGTTGAACAGTTCTTTTTCTGTCCAGGGCGCCAGTATAGGGCTTCATGAGCCAGGGCATTAGCGGGTAGGCTGGGTCCCCGAGGATGACTGTAGGCATCTCCACATCCCCAAGAGTTATTTTGTGGTCTGGGAAGTAAATACCTTCCTGCAGCCGTCTAAACAGACCAGAGTTCCTGAACACACGAGCGTCATGAACCTTGCCCGGCCATCCGACGTAGATGTTTGTAAACCGTCCCCGATGGTCCACCAGTGCTTGCAGCACCATTGAAAAGTAGCCCTTTCTATTGATGTACTGGCTGGCCTGGTGGTCCGGTCCCAGGATAGGGATGTGAGTCCCATCGATAGCCCCTCCGCAGTTTGGAAATCCCATCGCGGCAAAGCCATCTATGATGACCTGCGCGTTTCCCAGGGTCACTACCTTTGGGAGCAGTACCTTCACGATTGCCTTGGCTACTTGCATGACAACAACCCCCACGGTAGATTTGCCCACACCAAAGTGGTTCGCGACTGACCGGTAGCTGTCCGGCGTTGCAAGCTTCCAGAGGGCTATGGCCACTCGCTTCTGGACAGTGAGGGCTGCTCGCATGCGGGTGTCCTTGCGCTTCAGGGCAGGGGACAGCAACTCACAAAGTTCGAGGAAAGTCCCCTTCCGCATGCGAAAGTTTCGCAGCCACTGGGATTCATCCCAGACCTGAAGCACTATACGGTCCCACCAGTCCGTGCTTGTTTCCCGGGCCCAGAATCGCCGTTCAACAAAATCCACATGCCCCATTGCCACCGTGATGTCCTGGGCGCTGGGGCTCGTGGTTTCTGACAGCTCTGTGCCACTCTCCGACTTCAGGCTCTCACGGCGGTGCCGTAGCCTCCTCGCCCGATTTCTCTGCATCTGCCTCAGGGAAAGGTGTATGATAAGCTGCGAGGTGTTGAGAACGGCCACAAGTGCAGCGATGGTCGCAGCGTGATCCATGATCGCAGTGCTGTGGCGTCCGCGCTGTCACTGACCAGAAAAGTGCGCGAACTGATTTCCCGCCGGCGCTTTCATGGAGGGAGGGAGGGCGTTAGTGACGGACGGATGACGACAAATTTTTTTTACCCAGAAGGCAT